AAAAAAAAAAAAAACCCAAGCAAACAAAGAAGCCAGGCACAGAACAAATGGCAGTCCTGCCTGATCGGGACCTACAAAAGCCTTTTCTACTGCCAAAGTTTTGGGTACATTCTCATCGCTTGGCCTAGCCTAAGTACAAATCCTACAACCTGAGACAAGAGCCACACTTTGTGTCCTAAAATGGGATCTCTATGCACAATGATAAAATATACCCTCTGATGGATGCTCAAAGCCACAGTCAACGATGGCCCGGAGCAGCTCTGGCTTGAGCAGGAAGTCTCGGAAGCCGGAGCTGTGGATGGAGACGTAGGAGCCCTTGACATCTTTCTTGGCGGGAGCTTCAGTCCCATCTCCCCCAGCTGCTGTCTCCACCTCGTCATCTTCATAGTCCAAGAGCTCATTGTCCACATCATTCTCTGCCATAATTGGGCCGGCGGGAGGGGGAAGGGAGGTCTCAGAGTCAGTGGTCCCAGAGGAGGTAAGGAAGCAAAGGGAAAGGGGTGAGGAGCAGCAAGGGGAAAGACGCTAGTTTCCAACAGAAGAGCTGGGAGAGGGGACAACAAAAAACCGGAAACACTCATCAGTCGTGAACAGTCTTGTCCACCCCCACATCCTTCCTATTAGCCCTCAACTACAAACCTCTGCCCCGAAAGAAAAGTCACAGAGCACAGAGATTCGAGACAGAAAAAAAGAACAGCAAATAGGAAAACAGAAAAAAAAAAAAAAAGGAGCGGTCTCGACCGAGAACCAGACTTGGGACCACCCTTGGGCCAGGGAGAAGCAACTCAGAGGTGAACACGACTCTCGGGAGGGTGAAGACCCAGAGGGCACAAGGAGACAGAGGCTGAGCAATCCCACTCACCCCCCCCCCCCGGTGTTGGTCCCCACTATCTTCAGCCATCAGTCAAGGGTGATAGATCAAGGTCAGCACTGCGCTCGAAGCGCTCACTTCCCCAATGGGAGCATCATGTGGCTGACATTCACCTACTAGGAGGCTCCCGCGTGCCCGTCCTGGCGGCGCACGCCGGTGACCCCAAGTCTGGGGAGGCAGAAGCAGGAGGGAGGGTGGGCGAGGAGGCCCACTGTAATTAAACTGTAGGTGCAGGGGCATGAGCGGCCATTTTCAAAACAAACTGAAACCGCCGGGGGAGGGGGGGTGCCTACAGTTAAAGGATAGCGGTTGCTTAGCAACGCTAGGCCGTAAGGCTCGGCCCGGCGCTGCAAACACACATCCAGAAAGCCACAAACGATCGGGGTCACGGGCGAGAACGAAGCAACGCTCTGCGGCTTAGCGATGCGCCAGGCGGTCCCAAAAACCGTCCCGCCCCGCTCCGGTCGGGCAGCTCCGCGAGGGCCGCGCGCTAGCACCGGCGGTGCAGGAAGGTAGCCGTCTCCAGGGCGCGCCCGGTCGGCGTGGGCCCGGAGCAGGATCCCTCTCCTCCCGCGGCGGACCAAGACGACGCCCGGAGGGCGGCCGAGGGGCCCCGCCCTCCTCCTGGCGCCGCCTCCGGCCGCCGCGGCCGCGGGCGGCCGAAGGACCCAGGGCGCATCCAGGAAACAAGGAAGCACAATGGCGGCCAAGGCCACCATTTTGGATGGTCCCCCAGCTCGCCTCCCAGCTCCCCGACGACAGCGGCTCTCCACAAGGGCGGAGGACGACGGAACGGGCGGCCGGCTAGGCCCCGGCGGGCAGAGCGCTGGCCCAGCCAGGGGTATCGGGGGCCCGCGCGGCGGCAGGAGCGGGGGGAAGCGCAGATGGCGGCGGATGGTACCCACGGCCCAAGCTTACCGAAGCACCGCGAGCGTGTATGGCGGCGGCAACAGGGACGGAGGCGGGAACCTGCCTTCACTTCCGGCTCCAGCCCTCTCCGCCCTCCTCCCCGGCTGCCAGGGCGCAGGCGCGGGCGCCGGAAGCCCGCCCCCCCGGACACGCCCCTCGCTGCGCGCGCACCGGGGCTGCCTCCGGGAAGTGCCTAATGGAGCCTACGCCGCCGCCGCCGCCGCGGGAGGCGCGGCGCGAAGATCAGGTCTCCGTCCGCCGCCCCCGCCCTTGGGTCTTTCTACGCCTCTCCACGCCCTTCAGCTCCACGGTGGGCTTCGCTTCTTTGTTCGCCACGCCAGGCTTCTCTGTGGACACCTCTCTCCGGGCAACAGGGACTGTGCGCGCAGGGCGGGAGGTTCTCACGGGGTCCTCGGCCTGGTAGTCAAGGTGACCCGAGGGCGGCTGAGCTAGGTCAGGGCGGGGGCGGGGGCGGGGCATGGCCACGCTCTTTACGTCGTGGAGAGAACACCCAGGATTTATCCTTAATGATGTCGGCAGTGTAGCAGCTTGGGAGGTGGAGGCACGTTCTGTCCGACGTTCAACAAGTGGGTGGCGTTGGAGGGGCGTGCGGCGTCCCACAGTCATTAGGAACTAGAGCGGCCCGGTCGTTCAGCCTTGATCTCCCCTTCCGCCGATTATGTGGTACTCCCTTCTCTGAGAGGCTACGAACAGAGGTGATGTCTGCTGCCTCGCTGCGTAAATACAAGAGCCGGCTCTCCCCCTGTGCACGCTTGACGCTAAGGAGCTATCATTGTTACCAGCCAGCGGGCTGCGTCCCGCTCAACGCGAAAGCTCGCTGGGCTGGGCCTGGCAGCTTTTGATTCCTCAGCGTTTGACAGCTGGGGGCGTAGCCCGTGGCCCCCTCAAGTGTTGGCATCCTCGTGGAGACCCCAGTCTTAAGACGAGGGCCGCACAGCGTTTGTATAAGAGGCAGTGGGGGTGCCAGAGAGTCGGGTATCTGGACCTTTGGCTTTGAAGACAGTTCCCAGGAACTCGGCTAGAGACCCTGTCGGCAGCTCTCCCAGCCACGTCTGTCTTCCTACCGTAACCCGCTCAGCCTAAAAAGCCAGAGAAGACCTCTCAGAAGAAGCTTGTTATGGGACCTAATGTCGAAGTACTGAAGAGGCTAAAATAGTAAGGCTTATCCCAGCTGACCTTCCAAGTGAGCCAGACATCCTGCTTTACAACCACAAAGGATGTTTGCCCCAACCACAGCAAACTCATGCAAATGGAGGCTTGTGTTTGCACCAATCACAGTACTATGCGCTTAACACGTCCTCCTGCTACAGGACTATGGGAAGCTGCGCCACACCACAGAGGGTTGGGGGGCCTGGCAGGACACACCTTCAGGAGCTGGAGCAATTAGCTGTCATCACCGTGTGGTTTTTCTCAAAGCATTTATAGCCTGTTCAAAATGGCCATTCTGGCTGTTTGACCGACAGTCCTGCTTAAGGAAGCCAGGGCAGGAAGGACTTGCCCAGCAGCCAGCAGCCAGTCAAACTGCTGCTGCTTTACAGGAAGGTGACATCAGAGGAGCCTGTACAATAAAGATGTGAAGACTCGTTAACATTAATAGCGATTTTAACAATGCTTAAAACCTGGGCGGTAAGCAGGGCACAGTGGTGCACACCTGCATTCCCAGCAGTGGGGGGCAGAGGAAGGCTGATCTCTGTGAGTTCAAGGCCAGCCTGGTCTACAGAGTGAGTCCAGGACAGCCAAGGCTACACAGAGAAACCCTGCCTCCAAAAACCAAAACAAAGAAAGCTGGGCTGGTGGCCTAGCGCAAGGTGAGACCCCCCTCCCCATCTGTCTTACCTTTCTTTCATATTTATTGTATGTATGAGTGCTTTATCTGCATGTACACCTATGTGCCAGAAGAGGGCACCAGACCCCGGTACAGATAGTTGTGAGCCACCATGTGGTAGCTGGGACTTGAACTCAGGACCTCTGAAGAGTAGCCAGTGCTCTTAACCTCTGAGCCATCTCTCCAGCCCTGCAATCTTCCTTTGTTAGTGAGTCTGAGTCTGTTATATAGCCTACACTGGCCTCAGACTCTCAATTGTCCCATCTCAGCCTTCAAGTGCTGGGATTAAAGGAATTAGGCACCACGCCCTGGGCCACTATTTCTATAAACATAAGCAAACAGAGAAGTAAAACAAGATGGCCAAAGCAATACAGCTAGCAGAGGAACACCAGGATGTAAGCCTCCAACTTCCCATTAAGTCTGTCTCCCCTCTTCAAAACTCTGGTTGGTTTTGTGTAGCTACTTCCCATCCTGATTGAAACATTCCCTCCTGATGAGAGTGGAGAAGGTTCGGAAGACTGAAGCTGCGAGACCCTGAGCCCCTCTCCCAGACTACGTCAGCAGTACACAGTTCTATGACAGGAGGCTCTTTGGTGGGCCTGTGTACAAGTCATGCAGAGGATCTGGTGATGGAGGAGGGAGGCTTTCTGATGAGAATCTACTCCCATAGGCAACCTATCACCATGCTGCTGCCAACAACTCCAAAGAGCCCCTTGGTCTGCCAGGCTAGACTTGGGCACAGGCTT